TTAGAAGTTTGGAGATGCCCTATCTGGGTGCCTTGCCTAATCTCTCGATATGGTCTTCCCTCCCCTCTGTTGGGCATTTCAGCTAATCTTATTCCTGTTGGGTCCTGGGAGACTCTTGCTTTCCTGGAATCTGGGACTTGCTGGTGGCTACCCCCAGTTCTCCACCCCCCATTGCTCCACACCTCTGTTCAAATTTTTAACACTCTGTTTATAATCCCTGTCTCCTTCCATACCAGATCCTGCTCCCCCTTCCCTTCCTCTTTTCCTCCCAAGTCCTTCCCACCCTCTACCTCCTGTGAGTATTTTGTTCTCCTTCTAAGAAGGATTGAAGCATCCACACTTTGGTCTTCCTTTCTTCTTGAGCTTCATATGGTCTGTGAATTTTGTCTTGGGTATTCCAGGCTTTTGGGCTAATATCCACTTATCAGTGAGTACATAGCATGTGTGTTCTTTTGTGATTGGGTTATCTCACTCAGGATGGTATTTTTGCCTCCCCCCTTTTTAACTTTTCCTTTTCAGTCTCTGCCTAGCCTATCGGATAATGACACCCTTAGGTTCCCCCTTTGTTACTGCCCCACCCTTATTTAGGTTCCCCCTTTGTTACTGCCCTATATGCCAAAATATCTGGAATCCTCATAAACTCACCAATAAGTGTTCTCTCCTGAGCAGCTCTCAGTCCTGTAAGTTTTCAATCAAACTTTACCATCATGCTAATTAAACAACATCTATCTTTTTCCCAACTCTGCCTTCAACCGTGACCAACTTACTAACCCATATCTAAAATGCATGGTGCTATTCATACTGGAATTTGGTTGGCAGGATGGGGCCATCTTGGATTCTCTTGTAAACTCGTAGCCGTATTGCCTTTGCAGCCCAGTGATGACCAACACTTCTGGAAGGGGTGACTGTGTCATCTCCTTGGCTGTGACTCTTAGTCTTTACTGGTTGAGTGGTCTCTCCAGCCCTTCTCTCTTTAACAGTCACCACTTCTACTGAATCAATAGGTTTGACTCTGAGGAAAGTCTTTGCAGAAAGGAAGACTGGCATCCATCGAGCACCTACTGCATACCCCATGCTAAAGGTATTTTATGCACAGGAGGGCGTGTAAAACTCCTGAGATGGATGGAATGGAATCAGGGTAAACAGGGAGGATGATGGTCTCTGCTCTCAGTAGGATTTGTTCTTAAACAGGCCATTAAATCCCTGTAAAGCCAGGCAGTGGTGGTGTATGTATGCCTTTAATCCCAGCACTTGGGAGGTAGAGGCAGATGGAATTCTGAGTTTGAGGCCAGCCTGGTCTACAGAGTGAGTTCCAGGACAGCCAGGGATACACAGAGAAACCCTGTCTCGAAAAACCAAAACAACAAACAAACAAACAAACAATCCAAAACAAAACAAAACAAAACAAAACAAAAAAACCCAAACCCCAAATCCATGTCAAGTTTGAACATTTCAGCAATTCAGCCACTCAAAGCATGGTGGAGGTGGCAGGGGTGGGGGTAATTAAAATAGACTAGAAAAATGTAAGAAACAAATATCATAGTGAAATGCATACAATGCTGACATAGCACACACTCAAGGAAATTTGCAGAAGCACCATAAAAGAGACTTTGCTAAGTCACAGTCTCCAGTAAATAAACTATGACCACAGTGTCAATTGCAAAACTGTGAAGCCAGCAGGAGGGATGGCAGAGGCCCTAGGACACGCTTTTCCACGGTACTTCAAATCTGCAGCTATCTCAGCTGCCTCTCCTTCCTTTAGGGCTGCCCTTGCCTTCCTAAGTTTGCTACTGTTGGCACCCAAGAGTGATTTCCTTTTCCATTTCGCTGTACAAAATGTGATCAGTCCCATTAGCATCAGCTGTCAATACGAAGTAGCTACTAGCTATCAGCATGCTGGGTATAGCAACATTTAACACATTAAAGCAGCCAGCAAGCTGAGGTAGCAGTTGCTTTTAGGGGTACACAGCAGACATACATGAGGAAAGAGAAGGGTTCCTCAGACCAGGTCAAAGGTTCCTCCTGACACATGCTGCAGAGAACTAGATAACCACACCAACGACAAACGTCGGAGATGTGCTCATGTGTACACATATGCATAGGCGTATGTGTGCTTATGTATTTGTGCAATGTATACATTAGTGTATACTTGTATATGTGTTTGTATTTGCGTGTGTATATCTATGTATACACACTATATCTGTATATGCATATGTACAGACACACATTCATGTACCAATCTATCTATATGTGCACACACATATATATACATATATATATATGTATGCATCTATAAATACACACTACACATATGTATGTATACATGAATATGTGAATACATATACACGAATACACATAAATATATATGCATATATACATATAAATGTACATATACACATACACATATATACATATACACCCAGACACACATATACACACATATATATACATCAGTATATATATATATATATATATATATATATATATATATATATATATA